AACTTTCTGGGTCCTAAGTTCTGCCCCTGAGCCACTGCTAAAATAACAACATAAATTGAAAGAAAAAAATAACTACAGAGGATGAGAAAGGAAAAAATGATTAAGAGGAAAAAAATCTGAAATAGAAAACAGCTTTAAAATATGAAGAAAGGAAAAAGTCACTAGGAATGACAGACTAAGAGCTTCTAATACGCTTATCTAAAAAAGCAATGAGACAACTGTGGAAAATTGTCATAATCAACTTTTTCAGAATTCTGGAAATCAGCCAAAAGCTTGCAATGATCTACGAAGTCTTTACTTAAGAAAAGCAGTTGAACTTCTGTTAAGAACAGTAGAATTTGGGGCACTGCAGCCTTTCCTATTCAGATATTCCTCTCTCCTTCTCCACAACGGTGCTGAAAATCAACAGCTCCACAATCACAGGGAATCACAGTGACAGCTGAGTAGCCACAGAAGGAGACAGAACAGTTAGAGAGCAACAGTGTCCTTATTTGATCTGTCTGTTAGTTTCCTGAAAATCCCACTAAAATGCTTATCTTTATTTGACCTGACTCAAAGCTTGCCCAGTGAGAACAGCCATTTATCTGGGGGAGAACAATTAGCAATTGGTAAAGATATCGAATTAGTGATCAAAAAAGTTCCTACAAAGAAGAGACCAGGACCAGATGGCTTAATTGGTTAATCTGACTGAATAAAGATGAATAATACAACTGATGAATTAATACAAGACGAATTAATATAATTCTCCACAAACTCTTCAAAAAGTAGAAGATGATGAACACTTCCCAACTCAGGTAAGGAGGCCAATATCATGCTGATATTAAAAACAGACAGGGGCATCACTGGAAAACTAAACCTATACCCCTTACAATTAAAGATGCAAAAATCCTCAACAAAATGCTAAGAAACTGAATCCAGTGACACATAAAAAGATATTATGCAACATGACCCAGCAGAATAAATCCAAAATGAAAGGATGATTCAATATATGAAAAATCAATCAATATGGTACACAAAAATAAGTATAATAAACATGTGACCAAAAGGAAAGAAAACAAGCATCATTCTTTAGTTCTTTGAAACTTAAGTAACAGAAAAACATTTGACAAAAATTGCACACCCTTTCACGATTAAAAACACTCAATAGACCAGGAATAGAAATAATCTTCCTCAACGTGATAAATGGCAACTACACAAAACCCACAGGTAACATCCTAATTAATGGTAAAAGACTAAATGCTAGCTGGGCGTGGTGGCACGTGGTGGCGTAGTCCCAGATATTCAGGACGCTGAGGCTGGAGGATCTCTTGAGTCCAGGAGTTCTGGGCTGTAGTGCGCTATGCCAATCGGGTGTCCGCACTAAGTTCAGCATCAATATGGTGACCTCCCGGGAGCAGGGGACCACCAGGTTGCCTAAGGAGGGGTGAACCGGCCCAGGTCGGAAATGGAGCCAGTTAAAACTCCTGTGCTGATCAGTAGTGAGATCGCACCTGTGAACAGCCACTGCACTCCAGCCTGGGCAGCTTAGCGAGACCCTGCCTCTTAAAAAAAAAGAGAGAGACTAAATCATTTTTCCTAGGATCAGAAACAAGGCAAGGATGACCACTGTTGCCACTTCTATTCAACAAAGTACTAGTGATTCATCTAAACAGGGCAATTGAGCAAGAAAAAGAAATAAGGCACACTCAGATTGGCTTGTAAGTAAAACCATTTCTATTTATAGAAGACATGACCTTGCATGTATAAAATCCTAAGGAATCCACTAAAAAAACTACTAGAATTAGTGAACAAGTTCAGCAAGGTTGCAGGATATAAGATCAATATACAAAAATCAATTGTAATTCTAAACACTAGCAAAGGACAATCCAAAAATAAATTATTTTTTAAATTTCCTTTTAAAATACTATTAAAAATTCTTAATAATTCTTAACTAAGAAAGAGCAAGGCTTGTACATTGAAAACTACAAAAATCATTGAAAGAAATTAAAGACTTAAATAGACGTAAATAAATGGACAGAGAGCTAGTGTTAATGGATTATAAGACTTAAATATTAAAATAGCAATAATTCTCAAGTTGATCTACAAATTGAATGTGATTCGTACGAAAATCCCAGCTGCCTTTATTGCAGAAATTGGCAAACTAATCCTAAACTTCACATGAAAATGCAAAAAATCCAAAATAGCCAATACAATCTTGAAATCACAGAAAATAGGAGAACTCCCATTTCTCAATTTCACAACTTATAACACAGAAATGGTAATCATAAAGTGCTGTACTGGCATAAAGAGAATTCAGTGAAACAGAATTGAAGAATTAGAAATAAAACTTATTTGTCAGTTGATTTTTGACAAAGGTGCTAAAACAATTCAATGGGAAAATAAATGTCTTTTCAACAAATGGTGCTGAAAAAATAGGATATAGAGATGTAAAAGAATAAACTTAGACCCATAACTCACAACAAATACAAAAATTAACTTAACGAGAATGGTAGTTACTAGAGGTCAGGGGATTAGGGTAACGGGGAGATGTCGGTCAAAGAGTAGAAAATTACAGTTATAAGATGAATGAATAAGTTCTGGAAACCTTATAGACAGCATGGCAACTACACTTGTAATAATGTACTGCACACTTGAGATTTGCTAAAAGACTAGATCTTAAGTAGACTCACCACAAAACAAAAAAGGTAATTATGTGAGGTGATGGATTTGTTAATTAGCTTGATTGTGGTAATCATCTCTCTCTCTATATATATAAAATACATATTTAATATATATATTTTATATATTATATATATGAAATGTATATTATATATATCAAAATTATATATAGTAACAATGTATAATGTGGTGCTTTGATATAAAATATATCTGATATGTATATTTGATACATATTATATATCAAAGCACCACATTATATACTGTTACTATACACAATTTTTACTTATCAATTATACCTTAGTAAGACTGGGGGAAATATTAATTCAAAATGGATCAAAGACCTACATGTGAGAGACAGAACTATAAAACTCCTAGAAGAAAACACCTAAGGTAATCATCATGACCTTGGATTTGACAATGAATTCCTAGATATGACTCTAAAAACATGAGTAACAAGTAAATATAGATCATTGGGACATCATCAAAGGCCTGTAGTCCCAGGACTTTGAAAGGCTGAGGTAGGAGGATCACTTGAGCCCAGGAGTTCCAGACCAGTCTGGACAATATAGGGAGGCTATGTCTCTACAAAAAACTTGCATAAATTAACCAGGCATGATAATGCACACCTGTAGTCCCAGCTGCTTGGGAGGCTGAGGTGGAAGGGTCACTTGAGCCCAGGAGGCCAAGGCTGCAGTGAGCCATGACCATGCCACTGCACTCCAGCTTGGCCAACAGAGTGAGACCCTATCTCAAAAATAAAATAAAAATAAAAGATTTTGTGTTTTAAAGACACTACCAAGAAAATGAAAACAGCTCCGAGAAGGAGAGAAAATTTTTGCAAATCATATATCCTATAAGGGACTAATATCCAGAATATAAAAAGAACGCTTGCAACATCATAAAAAGACAAATAACTGAGAAAAAAGGTAACTGAATGATGTATTTATCCAAAGATACACAAATGACCAAAAAGCATATGAAAAGATGTTCAACATCATCAGTTATTAACAAAATACAAATCAAAACCACAATGCTGTATAACTTCACATCCATTAGGATGGCTATAATAAAAAAGGTTAATATTAATAAGTGTTGGCAAGGATGTGGAGAAACTGGAAACCTCACACTGTTAGTGGTAAAGTTAAAAGGTACAGCTAGCCACTGTGCAGTTTGGCAGTTCCTAAAAAATTAAACGTATGACCCAGCATTTCCACTTCTAGGTATACGCCCAAGAGAAATGAAATCATAGGCCCACACTAAAATCTGAGCATGAGTGTTCATAGCAGCAAGATTCCTAATAGCAAAAAGATAAAAACAACCCAAACATACATCAACTGATGAATAAATGTGTTATATCCACACGATAAATACTATTTGGCAATAAAAAATAATGAAGCATTGGTATCTGCTACAACATAAATTTTAAAAACTTTGTACTTAAGGAAAGTAAGTTAAATACAAAAGGTCACATGTTGTTTTATTGTATTTATATGAATTGTACAGAACAGGTAAATCCATAGAGACAGAAAACAGAAAAGGGGTATTCCAGGGACCAGGGATGAGACAGTGGGAACTGCCTGCTAATGAATACAAGGTTTCTTTCTGCTGTGATGAAAATGTTCTAGAATTATACAGTGATGATAGTTGCACAATTTTTAAATATACTAAAAACTACTTATTGTATGCTTTAAAAGTATGTTTTACGCTGCAAATAATTTCTCAATTTTTAAAAAGAAAGAAGTAGAGAAAAACATATCAGTGTTTCAGTTATCTTACTCTAAAGTATACAAATCTTCAGAAATCTAGTCCTCATTAAACTCTCCTTTACAAGACTACCCAGATTTCCTAGGCAGACTCAGAGGCCAGCTTCTTAAAAATGCATCTGTTTTTTAGAGGATTACTCTGTTGGATTATATTTGTTTTCTTATACGTTTGTCTTCTCCACTAGATTGAGTTTCTTGAAAATAGAAAGAGGTCTATTCACTTTTTTAAAATCCCCAATATACAGCTGCGGTTAAAAAAACTAATGGAATATGACAGAACATCTAGTATCATGCCAATGACTAAATATGCCTTGTAACTAAAACTTAGTGTTTTGCCTAACAAAGTATATAAATGGCCTATCTTCATAAATTCTGGTACAATTTTTAATCTGCTTCACTCTCAAGATGTATAACCATAAAGGGGAAAAATAGGTAAGAAAGAACTTTTATAAGTATTTGTTGAAACTATCCCTGTTGTCAATTCACTCATCTCCAGCATAGAAGTAGCTGGAAATTGAACTACTAAATCTAATTTCAACCATTACATACAATTCTTTTTCCTTTTTTTTTTTTTTTTTTTTTTTAATGAAACGCTTCACAAATTTGTGTGTCATCCTTGAACAGGGGCCATGCTAATCTTCTCTAAATTGTTCCAGTTTTAGTATACTTGCTGCCGAAGCAAGCACTAATTCTCCAAGAGTTCATTTTCACATGGGTAATGAAAACTTTTTCTGCTCCTTTACTATTAGCAATCAATCCTATTGCTTTTCTAAATTAAGCCTTTATTGGCCAGGCACAGTGGCTCACGCTGTAATCCTAGCAGTTTGGAAGGCTGAGGCAGAATAATCACTTGAGCCCAGGAGTTTGAGACCAGCCTGGACAACATGATTAAGACCCCAGTCTCCACAAATAATCAAAAATAAATATTTTAAAAATTAAATAAATTCAGCCTTCAATGATGGTTTTTTCTAGTAGAAGTAAAGATTCATGTTGATTTTACCATTATTTCATTATATCTGAAATATCTACAATGTCCTAACTCTTATTAATACCTTTTATCACCACAGCTTCATCAGTATAGAGGTAGTCCAAAATAACTTTTAATATATCAGAATGTATTGGCATTTCCAGAGCTGCACAACTGGAAGCCTAAATAAAATAAGACAAAATAAAGTAAAATAATTCATTCTAAACAATAAAATATTATTACATTCTAATTTGGTTTATTGGTACAAAACACTCTGAACAGGATCAAATGCAAAAGAACATAAAATTTACAAAACACATGGCTAAAATAAGGTTAAATTTAATTTTAAAACATAATATGAAAAAGGAACAAAAAAAAACTCAGAAAACAAGAAACACAGTGGTATTCCTAATACATTTCTAATAATGGACAAATTTTTATTTAAGCAGCCTCTTGACAGTAGTTTTAAATTCTAAATGTTGCTATTTTCCAGCAGCCTCAAGTATAAATAAAGTTTAATATAAATGAAAAACTGAGCTAAAATATCAAGTTCTGATTTTGAATTTCTTTACTACATTATTTCCACTAAAGAAACATAGTTACCAACCTAGGTGCTTTTTACTTAAATCTTACCTCGATCCATGAGCTACTCAGCATACTATGAAAATATTCTAAAAGAAAAAAAAGTTTAATGCAATAAGAACAGTGAAACAATACTACAGCAAATAAATTAACAGCTTAAAAAAGTGCACCTACCAAGTCTAGCACAAAGAACACATTTATGACAAGGAAACTCCTTTCCATCCACTGATTTCATGGTCACATCACACAAAAATGAACTGCAAGAAAATGTTTAATTGAAGCAAGAGAAATTTCTTTACATATTTAATGAAAAACGTTATAGGATTTGGCTTGACTTTCAATTTTCTCTTAAAGGTAGGAGAGAATAAATACCTTCAGGAATACATACAACAAAACACTTTATCTTCCTCCACCTCAGGGAAGATAATAAGGCCCTTACAGTAAAGACAGTATTTGAAAAGGGAGCTGAATACAAATATTCAAAAAGTATTTTTTCTGATTTTCCTTTTTTTTAATTTCAGACAAACTGTTACTAATATAATACCAAGTGATATCGTATTTAAGTCTCTGTAATTCACTCATCTGTAATAGCTAATCTGGGCCAGTTTAAATACCTCCACAGTTTATCCTTCTCGAAAACCTTTTCATTTATAGAGGAAGTATGAACACTAAAAACAAACTTTTCTTTTTCTGAGATCGAGTCTTGCTTTGTCACCAAGGCTGGAGTGTAATGGCACGATTTCGGCTCACTGCAACCTCCACCTCCCAGGTTCAAGCTATTCTCCTGCCTTAGCCTCCCAAGTAGCAGGGATTACAGGCACCCACCACTGCGCCTGGCTAATTTTTATATTTTTTTAGTAGAGACAGGGTTTCACTATATTAGTCAGGCTGGTCCCATACTCCTGACCTCAAGTGATCCGCCCACCTCGGCCCCACAAAGGGCTGGAATTACAGGCGTGAGCCACCACACCCGGCCTTAAAAACAAAACTTTTAACCATATATTTAAAACAGTATAAAACTTAAAACTTTCTTATACTAGAGAAAATAATCATCACCATGATGACATATAATTTGGGGCTATTAACATTGCCTAATTATAACAAGACACAAAATTCAGGCAAGAAAAAATAAAAAGTTCCTCTATTAGAAAGTTATCAGAAAGAATAAACTCCTTTGATGTCTTCAGCAGTTAATATTTCATCAATTTACCTCAACAGTTCCCCAACATTTCCAGAAATGCAGAAGACTAGAAAAGGTAAGAGTGTATCTATCTATACATTTTGCTTCATATGTGGGTAAACAGAGCCCTATTTCCACACTTCTGTGCTAAAATATAGAGATAAAAAGTTAATCTTCCTTTCCTTACCATTTCTTCTGACTTAGCTTCAGTTTATTACCAGTTTTCTTGGCAATAACATTAATTTTTTCATTTTCAAATCTGACTCCATCTAACCTATCAAGGATAGATAAAAATTAACAATTGACATATACATTCCCCTACAAAAATAAACATACAACAAAAAAAAATCCAACAAATTAGCTTACATCTAACTATAGTATCTCAAAATACCATACTTCTTCCATTCTAATTAGAATTCAAAATATATTAAATATTACTGACAACAAATCAAAGCCATAGCACAAAGTTTTTTTTTTTTTTTTGAGACGAAGTCTCACTCTTGTTGCCCAGGCTGGAGTGTAGTGGTATAATCTTTGCTTCCTGCAACCTCCGTCTTCCAGGTTCAAGGAGATTCTCCTGCCTCAGCCTCCCCAGTAGCTAGGACTACAGGCACTTACCATCATGCCTGGCTAATTTTTGTAATTTTTAGCAGAGATCAAGTTTTGCCATGTTGGCCAGCCTGGTCTCAAACTCCTGACCTCAGGTGATTCACCCACCTCAGCTTCCCAAAGTGCTGGGATTACATGCGTGAGCCGCCACATCTGACCCCTTCATTATTTTTAAACAGAAAGCATGGTACACACTCCTCTTCTGCTCCCACCCTAAAACTAAAGTTTAACTGCCACGAGCAACATAAATACCTTAAAAAAGGAGAGAATTTCAAATAATCTGATTCAATATGATACTATGGTATTAGGCACTTTACATATACCAACAATATGAGGTAAATATTTTCTTTCCCACTTCATATACTGACAAACTGAGGTAAAAGAAAGAAAACTGCACCAGCCAGGAACAGTAAAGCTAAGAGACACATATGTCTTTCGAACCTGAAAGACCTTTCCAGCATACCACACTACCTGCCACTCCAGATCCCTGTTATATACACAAACCAGAGATCAAACCCACCAACAGCTTTCCTGTCCATTAATGTAATCCAAGAAGTCCCACAGAGATAGCTCTGCCAGCAAATAGAGGAATGACACATCCATATACCTCACCCAAAAAAGGAGGGGTAGGGAGAGAGAAGGGAGAGAAGGAGGGGAAGGAGAAAGAGAAAGAGATGGACCAAGTGGGAGGAGACTGGGGAAGGAGAAAGGAAAGAAAATTAAGGAAAAAAGGGTGGGAAATTTTGTCAAGTAGGACTGAATAAGGTACAAAAACAGATAAAAAGGAGCTATCATACCTACTGCTCAAATTACTGAAGCCAAATTTCTTTGCAACAGTTTGCAACATTTTTACAGGATCGTCTTCCCCAATATTTTTTCCTTTTTTGCAAGATTTAGGTTTGCTCTTCTGCCTTTCACTAATTGTTTGAGCTTGATTACTTTTGTAAACTTCAAATGCAGACTTCTGGTTATTATCTTCATGGAAATTCACTTTATTCAAGTGAGAATTCAGAGTTCCCTGATATTCTTCTGGGTTTTTGTTTAAGTGTATTCTTGGTTTGAAGCCATGAGTTAAAAAGTCACAAGTATCTGTGTATATAAATTGTAAAAGGTATTCAAACATGTCAGGATGAACCTTCTCTACCACAAAGAGATGGCACCCTGAAGAATCTTCATCTTTCCGGTAAATATCTGTACATTCTAATGTAGTATCATCTGAAAGAAACAATTTCTGAAAAAAATCAGAACGCGCTGCCAAAATATATTTATGTGCAGGGAAGATTCTATTGACAACTTGAAATGTCACATCATGAATGTTGTCCATTTCATCTGTTTCCCTCAACAGTTTGCCAAACTCTTCAAAAAATGATGATGAGGACACAGCTGGAATTTCATAAAGGCTAGAAACAAGACAAAAATAATTTATGCTTCAAAAAAATTAAGGAAATGCTTTTTCATACCTACCCAATTTTCCTTTAAAATGCAATTTTTTTGTTTTTTTGTTTTTGTTTTTGAGACGGAGTCTCACTCTTGAAATGCTTTTTCATACCTAGCCAATTTTCCTTTAAAATGCAATTTTTTTGTTGTTGTTTTTTTGTTTTTGTTTTTGTTTTTGAGACGGAGTCTCACTCTTGTTGCCCAAGCTGGAAGGCAATGGCACAACACTGGCTCACTGCAACCTCCGCCTCCCGCATTTAAGTGATTCTCCTGCCTGAGCCTCCCGAGTAGCTGGGATTACAGGCACGTGCCACCATGCCCAGCTAATTTTTGTGTTTTTAGTAGAGGCGGGGTTTCACCATGTTGGCCAGGCTGGTCTCGAACTCCTGACCTCAGCTGATCCATCCGCCTCAGCCTCCCAAAGTGCTGGGATTACAGGCATAAGCCACCACGTCCAGACCAAAATGTAATTTTTTAAATAGAATTCAGAAAATTTTAAATTTGGCATTTCCTAAAATACAGTAATATGGCACAAAGTCCTAGATACTGTATCATCCTTTTTTTCTATTCCTTTTTATATTTGTTTCTTCTCTCAAACTAAAATAAGAACTAAGTTGTCCATAACCCTGGTTCTTACAGCACTGTAGGAATGCAATTACACCTTCTCAATCAACATTTCACCCTTCTCAGTAGGAAGACCAACCCTCCTGTGGTTTGCCTTGGATTGAGGAGTTTCTCAGGAAATGAGACTTTCAATGTTAAAAGGGGGGCAGACCTGGGCAAACTAGGATGCATAATTACCCTACTTGTAGAATTTCTTCCCTCTTCAATAGTACCCCTGATGTTTATCCTAACCAGATACTTAGCTCATGTGACTTAAAAGATAGGCACTGGGATTTATAGATGG